AAGGAATGATAGCGAAATTATTGATAAACGTAGGACATTTGATGTACACGAGGGTATACAAGGTGATACAAGATATAGGAATGCTGACCAGACGTTTTTTAATTTGGTTCAAAACGAACTTCAAGTGACTTCGAAACCGGCACATACTAGAGAAACGCTAGATAATAGGCAATCAAAGGGAAAATCTGAAAGCTCGGTGATTTCTGTGGATAGTCAAGGGCCCTCTATTGACAGAGATGGTCCGTCAAGGATAATACGGATCCCATGTGGTGATGACAGTACAGATATGGTATCAACAGGTGATACTGTGGATAAATTAGGATCAGCGAGGCAAGACTATAATAAACACATGCAAATGTTGATTGAAAGGTTGGCTGCTCATAAATTTAGCAATCCCAGTATGGAGGCAATCGTTCCCAAACCTCCAACAAGACCACGGTCTGCAAAACGGCCTGTGAGCGCCCAGCGAATGGCAAGGTAATGTCAAATAATATATTTCTGTTTTGCAGAAATTTCCATACTAACAATTAATTTTAGCCTAGAATTGTACCCGATGTAGTTCTAACCTTAGAGTCAAAATCAGAAACCGGACTTTTTGTGGTAATTATTCTTGTTTTGCACTGACGTCATGACCGCCATGTTGGAGGAATTCTAACAAAAGAATATGATTCTGTAATTGGAGCGTGGTTTCCTCCAACATGGCCGCCGTGTCTTTGTCTCATAAATCTCAAGAGATTGATTGCAAGCCACCAATATAGGTTTGATTGGTTCAGAATATGACAAATTTTATTTTTGAATTTTTGTGTAGAATCACAACGAGTCATGGTAGTCTGATGTAGAAAATAGATTCCAGTCGGTCTCTGTTTGGCAGGAGTTTATTTGAGGAATGTGGTATACTGTAGTGTGTATATGAGGGTTAGCACTATTTTCCATCCAGCAAACTGACCTGACGTCATTTTCGGATAATGGAAGAGGTGTTAAATGGCTATGTAACTAACCCAAATCCTACCCCTACTCTAACCCCAAACCCTAACCCCAACCCTAACCCTAACCGAATTAATAAAAAAAATCCTAAAAGAAACGACTTTAGAAAATAGATAGGGCAGTTTGCTGGATGGAAAATAGTGCTAACCGTATATGAGACAGCAGGTTTATTGCCGACCGATTCATTAAAGGCCGTTTTCCACCAGGCGGAATTTTGCGCGCGGAGCGGTATTTCTCTTTGTCTTTTCTAATTAGTTCCACCCGAGAAATCACAACACCAAGAAAAATTCCGCTCCGCGCAAAAAATTCCTCCTAGTGGAAAGCAACGGCCTTTAAAGCCGGTTTTCCACTAGGTGGAATTTTGCGCGCGGAGCGGAATTTCTTTGTCTTTTCTAATAGGCAATTCCAGCTTTTAGTTTATGTCTGCAGGGGATGATGGGAAGTAAGGTATCATATTGCTGATTATGCTGAAAAATTTCAATAAAAACTACCG